CGAGGGGATGCAATACCCCTGATCTCACTTAGCTAATTGCTGAACCCCATGACGCTGACTGACCTTGGGCTGCAAGGCCCAGATTGAGTTCCCCATCCTTCTGAATGGTTGAACTCCACAACGTTCTATTACAGGTCCCACGCCCTAGTGAACGAACTTTTCAATATAGTATATTTACCATTTAATGGCTCAGACAGAGCGAGGATGCAATACCCCTGATCTCACTTAGCTAATTGCTGAACCCCATGACGCTGACTGACCTTGGGCTGCAAGGCCCAGATTGAGTTCCCCATCCTTCTGAATGGTTGAACTCCACAACGTTCTATTACAGGTTTCCCACGCCCTTTCTTTAAAGATGTTCAAAGTTGGGAACTCAGAAACATACCCTTGATGACCACCTCTGTCTTTGCAGAGTGGGTGCAAAGACTTGCACAGTTAGGAGGTCTGAGAGTGTGTTGGGGGGGTGGAATTATGGGGTTCAGGGGCACCCGCGTGGCTACCTTCCCGGTGCTTGAGCGATGGCTGCTGGGTCGGGAGCAGGCGTGGTTCTCCTTCCTGTGGTGGATCGGGGCCTGGCCTACCTTCCCGGCGCTTGAGCGATGGCTGCTGGGTCAGGAGCAGGCGTGGTTCTCTAATAGTCTTAATAACTAAGGAAAAAACAAACTGAGGTTGAATTTTTAAGAATAAGTTACCAGAGAGGAAATTAAAGAAGAAATTAGTCAGTTTTTTAAAATAAATGATAATGCCAATACAACATACAGGAATCTGTGGGACACAATGAAAGCAGTTCTATGTGGAAAATTCATAGCACTGAATGTCCACATTAGGAAAACAGCAAGCTCAAATAACCTAATGAAGAATCTTAGGCTTCTAGGAAAGAAGAGCAAGAAAAACGCAAAGCAAGAGGAAATTATAAAGATCAGAGCAGAAAAAAATGCAATGGAAACAAATAGAATGATACAGAAAAATCAATAAATCGAAGAGTTGATTTTTTGAAAGAATAATAAAATTGATAAACCCTTAGCCAACCTTGTCAAAAAAAGGAAGGTGAAAAAGGAATGAAAAATGAAACAGATCCAGCAGAAATCTAGAGGATCATCAATACCTACTCTGAGAACCTGTATTATAATAAAATGGAAAACACAGAAGAAATGGACAGATTTTTTGATATTTATGAATTACCAAAGTTGAACAAAGAAGATAAAAAAATTCTAAACACCCCAATTACATTCAGTGAAATTAAAAATGTAATTAAAAGTTTATGAACTAAGAAAAACCCTGGTCCTAATGGTTTCTACAAGTCATTTAGAGAACTGCTGCCCCTACTCTTTAAACTTTTCAACGAAATTGAAAGGGAGGCAATACTTCCAGATTCCAGATGGGAACAAGTGTTACTTTGATTCCAAAACTAGGGAAAGACCCAACCAAAAAAGAATTATAGGCCGATCTCCTTAATGAACATAGATGCAAAAACCCTCAGTAAGATACTGGCAAACAGAATACAGAAGGTCATCAAGAAGAACATACACACTGACCAAGTCGAATTTATCCCAGGGATGCAAGGATGGTTCAACATATGTAAATTAATAAATGCAATACAGTATTAGACACTCCACATAGAAGACCCAAAAAACTTTGCCAGAAGACTTCTAGATTTAATTGACACTTTCAGCAGAGTAGCTGGATACAAGGTCAACACTCAAAAATCAATAGACTTCTTGTACACAACAGACTCACTAAGAGAGAAATTAGGGAAACAATTCCTTTCATAATAGCATCCAAAAAAATGAAGTATCTAGGAATTAATCTAATGAAAGAAGCAAAAGACCTCTACACTGAAAACTACAGCTCTCTGAAAAAAGAGATCGAAGAAGATATAAGAAAAATGGAAAGATATCCCCTGCTCCTGGGTAGGAAGAATCAACATAGTGAAAATGGCCATACTACCAAAATTGCTATACAGATTCAATGCAATGCCAATTGAAATTCCAACAGTATATTTCACAGAACTAGAAAAAAATAATCCAAAAATTCATTTGGAACCAGAAGAGACCTAGAATAGCAAAAGCCATCTTAGGTAACAGAGACATGATACGGGGTGGGGGTATCACAATCCCCAACCTGAAACTGTACTACAAAGCCACTGTGCTAAAAACAGCATGGGTACTGGCAAAGAAAAAGACCCTAGGATTAGTGGAATAGATTAGAAGATACAGAAAAAACTCCAGATGTACTGAGCTACCTCATGTTTGACAAAGGAGCTAGCCATCCTCAGTGGAGGTAAGATAGCCTCTTTAATAAATGGTGTTGGAAAAACTGGATTTCAACCTGCCAAAGATTAAAACTAGACCCTTATCTTCCACCATTCACTAAACTAAAATCCAAGTGGATTAAAGATCTAAATATTAAAAAAGAATCACTAAATTTTCTGGAAGATAATCTAGGCAGAACTCTTGAAGACATTGGCATAGAAAAGACTTCATGAACAAATCCTTAGTAGCATGGGAACTAGCAGAAAGAATCAACAACTGGGATCTCATCTTTTTAAAAAGCTTCTGCACAGCAAAAGAAACCATCAACAGAACTAAAAGACAACCTACAATGTGGGAAAATATTTTACCAGCTGCTCCTCAAAGGACTTATTATCTAGAATATAAAAAGAACTCAAAAAAATCAGCCCCCCAAATATAAAGACCCGATTCAAAAATGGGCATCTAGCGCTGGGTGTGGTGGCACATGCCTGTAATCCCAGCACTCGGGAGGCTGAGGCAGGAGGATCTGTGAGTTCG